CTTGGTCTGCTCCTCCGTGGAGAGGTACCGAAAGATGTCCATCGTGTCCATCTGAGGTTTCTCCCAACTGTGACTGCTCGCCCTGGACGGGCTCGGAGAAGTGTACCCTGCGGCAGTCTTTGATGTCCCCTTGTGGTTGGTGCGCTTGGGAGGAGCTGGACTTGTCTTGTTCATGGAGGAGGCCGGCTGTTCCTTGACCTTGTGGATCATCACCAGGAGCTTCTCCTCGGCCACCAACTTGTCCACCATGGCCTTGCAGATCTGGGCAGTGGGCGTGCGGCCAGGTAGAAGTTGTTGTAGTTCCACCATGGCCCGGTTGACCATCACGTGGTTGAGCACCATGGTAGACATGCTCGGGGATCCTTGTCTCGGGACGTACTGAAGCCTGAGATCGCATACCTGACAATGGATCCAGCGCCCGTGGGGGTTGCTTGCCCAGTTCCCCGGTTGGTGACGCACGGCCAGGTGTTCTTGGCGCGGATGTCCCGAGGGTCCATTTCCATGCTCCTTTCCGGATCGAAGGGCATGGGGGCCTTGGAGGTCTTCTTCTTCGCGGTGAGGTACTCGGGCAGCTCCGCCGTGGTCGGAGTGGTGTCCAAAGGGTTGGTCAGCTTTTTGGACATGGCTCGGAGGTGCCGGAGTCGAATTGGGAGAGAGCACACTACCCATGGACTCAGATGAGTCCAGCGCTGATATCAGCCAGGCCGGCACGGTTCGATGTTCTCTCATGAGCTTCCATGCATAAAGCTCGCAAACTCGAGATGGACCATGAGGTGTAGTGGTGTTCACATGGGGGTCCAACTGAGAACAAGTGCCAACCTTGACATTCATGTCGTACATCTCGCAAGGGAAAAGGGTGTGCGTATCCCAGGGTTTGCCGGTAGATGATGTCGGGGTCCGGGATGTGACCTTCACCACTGGATGATCATCCGCGCTGGAGTTTTGGTTGCCGCCAGTAAGAAGGTGGACCAGATCAACCATGAAGTGACCCTTGTGGTTCTTATCCAGCTGGTAGGGACGCGGATCAGGTAAAAGGGCATCTATGGCAAAACCAGTGGCCAAATCGACTACCATACCAACACCATCAGAACCTGCATGACTCATGCCAACCAGAATCGGGACAAGCATGTCGGTGGTGAACCATTGCTCGAAGAACTCGGGGGGTTCGGAAGAGCATACACATGAAAGACTCGGGGGTGGCCAGATAGATCTGATTGGAGGGTCACCCGGTACTGTGCTCGACCCCACCGACCACTCCCGTAGCGAAAGTATGGACACTGATTGGGGTCCACAGTCAGCGTGGCGGACTTGTCCTGCCGCAAAACTGCCTCAATGAGACGCTGTACTGAGGCTTCAGGGCCAGCACTTGCGGTGGCGCCGCAATCCAGCATGCCTTGATGTGGAGCTACCTTTCCAGGGCTAACTGATGAGAGCTCTAAGGGATTGTGAGGTCCTTCGTGCATTTCCAAGCCATTGATGCCGTACATGTCCTGGACGTATGCGTTGACAGTTGGGCGGTGATCACTCGTGCCCTTGCCCTTGGAGATCCAGGAGAGATCATGTTCGGCCCATGCGGCTGACTTGGAGCGCCCCTTCCAGCCCTTGCCTTTCTTGCCAGATTTGCCGGTGAAGAAGTGCTCGTTGTAGGGAGAATCCCGGCGAGGGCATCGGCAACTTCCTGGTGAGGGAGACTCTCGGCTATGAGGAGTTTGTGGAGGCTCTTCTTCGCCTTCACGAAGAGTCTTCCGGTGTTGACCAAACCCGCAAGGACTTTGGCCTCCCTAAGAACATGGATTCTGGTTGGGATGAATGGGGCGAGTCCTGGTCAGATTGGGACTATCAGCCCGTCACCGAAGAGATATCTTTTTCCGAAGGAGAACAAGCTCCCGAAGCACCTGGAGACGTGCCGGTCTCTCAGGAACTGCCGCACCTGGATCTGCTCCCAGCCAGGAGCCTAGCCCTGATGCACAAGTGGGTTCCCCTCCAGCACAGCGTGTGACAGATACTACTGGCACACCGGGAACCATCACGGAGCTCTCCATGGCGGACACCTTCATCATGGGTGTTCTTCGTGGCTGGCGTCTTCTTCAGGCAGCTTCCCTCAGTCCGGAGGACAAGCGTGACATCCTAAGCACAACACGCAACTCCTGGAGTACGAGGCCATCAGCCAAGCTCTTCAGATGCTTTGGGATGAACAACTTCTTGGAAATCGTCAACGGCCTCCTCAGCACCTGAACTACCACGAGGCCGACCTCAATTACCAGGACGCGTGGGATCAAGATTGGGAACCCTGGGACCCTTCTGATCAGACCTGAATTCATTGTCCATGACTACTTCGCCGTCCGGGAACGTGCCAATCTCGAAGTCCTGAGCGATGATCTTTTCCTGGGTCGTACCAAAGGGCTCGACGCAGTCAAAGATCAGAGTCTCTTAGAGATTTATGCTCAAGGCGATCAAGTAGCTGTGCACACGTTCCTGAACGTTCTTGGTGCACTTGATCGGGCTCAGCAGGAAGCACTGAATCGTTGCCTCCTGCTCCGCTACCAATGCAGCGGGAGTAGCGCGGGGAGCGAATGGCGCCAAGCCTTGTTTCTTTCTCAAGCCGCCTGTGCAGCTGACTATGGGGGTCGTGGCCAATGTCTGGCTCGGCTACAAGCAAAAGGGCCCTTCAGCTGCGGAAGGGACATGTCTGCAGTCTGGACAATCTACATGCATGGCATCAACTGATGAGCCTCTAAATGCCCGTGTTGCAGAAACCAAACGGAAAACCGAATTCCGTTTAACATCCCCACCTGAGCCGTAGGCAAATTTACGCAAACTTCGACCTACAGGACATGAGCCGCAGTCACAGTGAACATAGACCATTGCTGACCTGAAAACATGACTTGTGTCCCCCACAAGACATGGAAAAATGGGCAGACATCATTCGGGGACCACCAACCATTTTTGCGGGGGCTCCAACTATCAAAATCCATAGCCAAAAGTGGTCCACGGACCGCGATGCGCGCGACCCGCCTGGCTGGCCGCCGGCGCCTTGCCGCCTTGCGGATGGGGAGAAAATGACGAAGATCCCTCGGAATTTCATTCTGATGGGCGGGAAGCAGATTTTCGTTTCTCGTTTTTTTTTTTGTCTTGGTAGTCTTTTCTTGAGGGTGCCCTTTTTGGGTTGTTCCGAAGGGAAAGCAAAGGGAAAACGCGCTTAGAGGGAACATCCCCTTGGGAAACAGAGGTCAAGCTTGGAATGGCACGGGGTCAAAACGAGGTTCTGGGTTCTGTTTCCAGGGGCCTTGTGAGTGGTGCCTCAAAGTCCGGCTTTGAAAAGCTCCCCTGCCTCCCACTGACAAAAGGAATGCTCTTGAGGTTGACTGTCGCGCATCCAGCTAGCTGTGGCCATTACTTTTTAATCAAAGTACTGAGACTCTGGGGTTGGCCAACATGTTTTTTAACCATCCACGGTCCACTTGCAAAGGGAACACTAGCAGAGTCGATGTTTCAACAGTAATGTGCTTAGACAAGTGGTTGTCCCAACGCTTAGGGGGGCAGTTTGATCAACAATGGATGGATTGCACTGGTTTTAATTTGGGTTTCCAGTCCCAGTCGCCAGTATCGTAGGTAACCATTTTCCTTCAGTTTTCCAGTGTGGCTCCACTCGGACTCCATTTCCAGGACACCGAGGATTATTCCGTACTTGGGATGGATTCCACTTGGCGCATGTGGCATGGACTCTTGTTTCAGTTGGGCCCACTGACTCATTCACTGACTCACCGACTCACTGACTCAGCGCGTGGAATCCCATCGATTCGGAGCCGAATCGATTCGGTTCCAGGCAGCTGGCAAGCGGGAGCTGGCCGTGCAGGAGGCCCAGCCATGGGTATGGCTGATGGTTTGGAGGTCAACAGGTACTTTTTTCGGGATGGTTGCAACCCACTTGGGGGGGTTCCTCATTTTGAGAACCCGAGGTGTGGATGTTTGCCCCCTCATTTCTTTTGCAAGATTTTGGGTCGTTGATGCCAGGTTTTGACTAAGACTCACTCAGAGCAACTGACCAAAATTACTGGTAGTCTACTATTGTTTTTGGGGAGGGGGGGGCCACCCAAATTGCCCACAAAAACAATCGGGCCCACCCAATTTTCCAATGTCTTGGGAAGAGAGGTAATTTGCCACGTGTTTCTCCAGAGGGAACCCAACATGGGCGGTTTCCTTTGGATTCTTTGTTGAGTGGCTGGTGAAACCTCAACATGAACTCAGAGGGTCCTGGGCTGGTGCGGACAGCTGCTGGCCTTTTTGAGATGGTAGTTTTCAAACCTCTTCCGGCGCACTTCCATGATTGTTGGAGACAAAGTACCTGCCAACATGGGACCCACCAGAGGGTCCTCTCCACCCCAGTCAGGTTCCATGCAGCATGGGTGGGAGGGTAACAATTGGGTGAAAGATGCTGCAATTCCCACCATTTTGTTTTCATGTTCCCCCTGACCTGTAGAAAAGGAATTGTGCCATCTATGTTCACCCTGCTAATGAACTCTTTTTACCCTGGCATAAGACCGCACTACCAGGGTTTTGCCCTGGATTCCCTGGATCGGATTTGAGCCGGCCAGCTCACCAGCTCACCAGCTCGCAGGAACTCGCCAGGGCGCCCGGAGCAGCGCGCCGCGGGGCGCCTTGCGGTCACGCCCCTCCGATGGAATCCGAGGCCTCGGAATCGATCGCGGCGTAAACGATCGCAGGCACATGCTGAGCAGTGCACTTGTAAGACAAGCAAGCAGCATTCACGCCGAAATGCTTACATCACCTCAACGGAAGCGCAGTTCACAAAAAAATGCTTTAGCCAAGGACATGCGAAGATGTCCACAATTGTTTGCAAAGCACGTGTAGCAGATGCTTCCTGACTGAAAGGTCTGAAGGCAGCAGGCTTCCAATGCATAGCTGGGCTCAAGTTCAGTGATCTGAGTTGATAGAATCTTGGAAAGGTTTGTTACCCCCGCTTTGCGTGTTTTTTCAGCATGGCTTGGTTTGCAGAGACTGTGGTGAAGGAGTACAAGGCATGTGCGTGGCTAAGCGTCATTCTCCTGTATCTCATGCCGATTGTGTTCTTTCTCTGCAGGGCGTACAGCATCCTACATGATGGGACCCCGGCAATGCAAACCTCGATGTCGGCAGATTGGGGAAGCTTGCCGACATTCCTGTTTTGCAGCCCGGAGGGGCATCCCAAGCTCGCAAAGTGCAGTCTGGCAGGGGTCATGCCTATCAATGAATCCATGTTGGCGGCGACTGCAACAAGCCCCCACGGCCATGGATGCATTTTATCCAAGGACAAATCTGAACACGAACAATTCAAAGGAAGAGAGGAGCTGGTACACATCGCCTATACGCACCTAGGCTCTCTAAAATGTGTTCTGGTCAATGCCACAACACTGCAGCCTCGCGCGCCTTCAACTCTTCACTTTGAACTTCTCGTTGACGGGTCTGTTAAAGATTCCATGCCTTTCCTGGTCTTGGACAAGCACATGAAAGTACCACTTCAAACGCTTACAGCCTTCACTCCAGGCAACCAAGTGATGAACTTTGTGAAGAAGAGGGATGGCTCAAAACGCTTCTCAGGCAACCCCGAATATGAGAATTTCACCTCCAAGATCTTCTCTCCATCTCTCTACTTGAGTGCTTTCTCCACACTTATGTCTCCAGAGTTGAAGGACATCTACAGCACTCAGCTTCAGTACGCATATCCTGACTTTGACTTGGAGGGCATTGAAGCGCAGAACTTGAGCAAATGGAGGCCAGCTGCACTCGCGAAACTCGCCAAGTACCCGCCCAAGCTTTTGTCCGCCCTCGAGCAGGGCGTGACATATCAAACGTACAAGGCCACTTTGTTTATTCTCAATGGCCATGTGCTGGAAGAAGTGGAGATCGGTCGCTACCCGCAGATTTTCATGTTGTTGGCTCGGCTGGGCGGGTACATGCGACTTGGCGAACAGATTGTTTCAACGCGAAGCCAAATGTTCGTTCTTTAAGTGATGGTGCCAATTTCGAGAAAAGACTAGTGTTCTTGTATTCGCATGGAAAGGGTTGAGCTGTTGCCAGGTCAGTGCTCAGCGCAGTTCTGGGTCTTTGCTGGGTGCAGCGCTGGCCGGACAGCTCTGTGGCGAAGATCTACAGGACAAGGACTTTCCTTTTGGCTGAGACACGCGGCCAGCCCGATCATGAGCTTCTGGCCACTGCAACACTCCCTGAGGCTGCGTAGACCCTCAGAAGTTGCTGTTTCCAAGAGAAGGCAGAGTCCGCTGACTGCGCCGCTACTGTTTCATACTGTTTCGTACTGTTTCCTCGCCAGACAGATCTTCCCGAAGGGAAAGAACTTGAAGCATCGCTTGACCTGAAGAAATGTGTGCGATGTTAACACACATGCACATGTGTTGCTGAATCTATGCCATGTGTACCTGATTAGCAGTGGCTGTTCATTAGCTATCGCCGCGCTTATGAACAAAGTACACCAGCCTCGGCCAAACATAAAACTGTCTCGGTTATCGTAAGAACACTACCAAGAATGAAGACGAGAGGAAAACACCGTTTCTGGCTATGCAAGGACGCTAGACAGGAGGACAGCATGAAGGGAAACAAAAGGAGACTATGACGGAGACACAGTACAAGGTATGCTCCAGCTGGAAGACGGACGTTTCCAGAAAACATAAAGCGCCTAAGGCCAACTCAACTTCTGCCAGTTTGGTCAACCTCAACTTGAAAGCGCATGGGGGGGGGGGTCCAGCAAACTTGTCCATCTCCGAACGACAGCAGCCCGAGGGCTGCTCTCTCCTCTTCTCTCTTCCCTCGAATCCGAGAGGGCGGGAATCCGATGGCGTGGACGTTATTGGACGAGGATTCAGTGATCCCAGTGCAGAGTCTTACACATTATATATATATATATTGAAGTTGGTACCCTTTTCTGGAGCACCACAGAAAATGAGAGACATTTTAGGGGCTCTCCATTTGGAGAGCCCAGATGACCCCAACTCCCCGCAAAAGGTGTCTGCTGGAAGAGGGGAGTGATCGGAACTTGGCAGGGTTTCTCAAATAAGCCCTCATATGTCCCTTTTGAGGCGGTTTACACGCAACTTTTTGAGCAAGTGTTAGATTAGTTTCGTTTTGGCGGAGTGATGTGTGCTTTTTAGGTTTGTTTGGTTAGACATAGATAGCGCTGGTTAGTTTGGCCTCGTTTCATTGATATACCCCGGCCATCCATGCCAAAACCCTTTGTTTGCAACCTGTTGGTTTTAAGACGCTAGGGGTCCATGGCTCACCCAATTCCAGAGCGCTCGCTGACTGCATTATTATTATTATTATTATTATTATTATTATTATTATTATTATTCTATGAGTCCTGGAGAGGTTGCGGCAGCGATGGACAGTTTTCTGAAGAGACAAGTGTGGAGTTCCACTTGCATTGAAATGCATCCTTCGCCATCGCGGCTCGAGTGCTTGTTTGGCTCACCTAAGGCCTGAAAGGCACAGGCTGCTCTGCATTGATTTGCACAGCTCCCGCTCGAAGAGCATGACTGGTCACCCGTTGAGTTCAAGTGCCCGGATGTGAGGATTCGGGGGTGTGAAACTACAATCATAGACGAACATAATGCCTTCTGGGCTCATCTCAAGCCGGGTGTCGGGTACGAGGGACTTTGCGACAACGAGCTGTGCCTGTCATACACGCAGGCGCAGCGGTGCGGCACCAATCCTGGACACGTTGTTTGCAGCATGGGCTTTGGCAAGCACCGACCGAACGAAGATTATTGCTACAAGCAGATTGTATGCCCTGCGTGCAAATGGGCGTTCTTTCCCCATCGCTTCTGTTTCCAGGAATGTTCGGCCAAGATCAATTTCTGCATCCAAGGCGAAACAGCCGACGAGGTATCTCTTTCCGAGGACAGAGACTTGAAGTCTAGGGTTTTCGGAAAGCGAGGATCACCTGCAGTTTATATCATGCTTGTGATTGAGGTGGATCTTCCTGGTAAGTATCCGGACGTGGATGAGTTGGAGGTCATAGATGCTGTACGATTTTACATGCCTGATAAGATGCGGACGTCTTTGTCCAGAATGTCGACCGCTTCAACTTTGAGTTCCCCTGCCTCTCAGAGTGGCAGTATGAGATTGAATCCGATGGAAATACGCTACATCCAAGACAGCATATCCAACCGCTTCCAGTGTGGTCGCCGCGTTCGCGACACCATGGAGAAGTTGAGGGATGGCCGCCTCCAAGTCGGACATTCCCAAGATTCGGGCCTTTCAGCGTAATGGACGCTGGTACGCGGAGGACAACAGGCGTCTATGGGCCTTCAAGGAGGCTGGTGTGTCGTCAGCTCCAGTGCAAGTGGTTGCCCAGGCAAGTGTCGACCCAAGGAAGTTTACCTCTCTGGATGACGGAGCGAGCATTCGCATGCGTGGTTGGTGAGGCAATCACGGGCGCTGCAGGTATACACCATTCATGTGGATTCGCATTCAGAGTAGAAGCCAGATGAAAAAGTAGCGAACTTGCCGTGCTTGAGCCAAAAGGTGGGCGACATCTGGTGATTCTCGCTGCCGTCCTTTCAGAAAAAGGCGGCGATTGTGTCCCAACTTCAGGTACCCCTTGATTGGTGGCTTGGATCGGTGGTTTGGAGGTTTGAACCCCATTTCCTCTTGAAGCCACGGCAAGCTAACGTATCCACCAAGCCAAACCACCACTTAGGGGTCAGGTGACCGTTCGCTGGCCTGTGTTTCTCACAAGGAAAGCCCTATCGCAAACGCTGTTCACATCACGACCCCTCCAACCGATTGTTTTATGTTCCCTTTTGAAGACAAGTCACCAGAAAGAATAAGAATCAGCTTGGCACAAAGGCGATATTCGAGGCTGCCAGTGTTTTTGGATTTGAGGTCGAATGAAATGAAATGAGCCACTTGCTCAAAACCCATGGAAATGAAGGCTCTGCAAGGGATCATCCCAACCATACATGGGTGCAGCCGCCTTTTTTTTACAATAATTTCTTGCTCCTGGCATCACGCGGCCTGCCTGGACCCTTTATCAAGCGTGCCCATGTCGCTAAGACACGCGTTGGTATTGTAGGCTACCATTTGCGTCTCGCTCTGAGAGGCTGCCAGAGGACGTGAGCCAATGGCGGGCACGACATGTTGGTGTGTTCTTGCTGGTGTTTTTTTCCTTCTTTTACAAATTAATGCAAATCCTTACACGGGTTTGGGTAGACCAGTTTAATTCGAGGTTTTAGTTTTGAGTCAAATGAAATGGAGTGGCGTGATGCGGGGGGCCTCCTTGTCTTCTTCCACTTTGCTTGGCAGGACGTCGCTAAGGACGAGGTGCTGGCCGCTAGGTCCGGCCGCGGCTGTGGGGTTTATGGGTAACCATCCGTCTTCGTTGGAGTCTGAAGGCGGGAACTTTAAAAAAGGGTACCGAGCCTCGAAAACAAAACAGATCCATTTGAGTGTCCCACTGCTTTTTCTAGGGGTTGATTCCAATTATCCATTCTTTCCAAACCATCGTTCTTTTCAAAAACCGGATCAATTGTCCCTGGGTTTACGGAGGTTTTGTAGAAAGATTCGGTGTTTGGAAGAATGGCGAAGGTACCCCTGGACCCTTGGCTTTCCCCAACAATCTTGGAAGCTGACAAGAGGGTTTTCCTTTTGGGGAAGCCCCCTGTCCACTTCCATGTCTGGTGGAAAGAGGGTACTTCTGTGCAGATTCGGAATCACCGGGAACGTGTGGAAATCGGGGCACCCATGGGGAAGACGTCCTTTTGTAAGCCTATCCGCAGGGGTTGCCAACGGCTTCCTATGGCTAAATGCCGGCCAAGATGAGCAGACATGAGCTCGAGAATCTCCTGTGTCGACCTTTGAATTCCAACCTAAGGACCGAGCCTCAAGAACGGACAAAGAAATTGTCCGGGGCCACTTTCTGCATCACTCAGAAAGTGGCAGTCGTAACGGATTGGTATCACAAGGATTAAACTCCAGAAGGCCAAATATTTGGACGATGGGTCATGTGGGGCTGAATGGTTGGAGGATTTTCCGGAGCCTTGTTGATTTTGGTCCATGTGCAACTCCAACTGCTCGCTCTTTTTAGGGTACATGTTCAAGGGTAAGCGCTGATGCGAGGATACGCTTAGAAAGTCGGTATTTGGAGGACAGGGGTACTCCCGATTTTGCGAGACTTGCAAGGCAGCTTGTGAGACTTGTGAGTCAGCAGCAAACTCGGACAAAACCAGTTGGTGTTCACTCATCGGGAAACCATCGACACACTGCCAGGTCCATTCAAAACTACAAGCCAAGCAACGCCCAAAGGTACAAACTGCTTGGGGTCCCAAACCGTTTCCCTCTCTTAGCCTTTGGGTCGTAGGTGAAGCCAAAGCCGCGCCGGCGCCTTCCTTGCCTCGCCTTGCGCCCGCGCGATCCGAGTGATCCGGGCGCCGCTTCCATTTGCCGAATGAATCCATCGAAGACGCTGGGGACCCGATCTCCCAGCTGTGCATACATGGGAAATTAATATTGTTTTTTTCCCCTGTTGGTGGTAGAGGGAATCGATTTCACCAGAATATATGTTGATGTTTTTTCCTCAGGGGCCTTAAGCAAATGGAAGGAAAGCGAGCGATTTGTGCTGGGTTGTTCTACAAAAACTCATTCCGCTAGGTTGTGTCCTCAGTGGACAGCCCACGGAGCGGTGGCCAAATCGTCAATCGGCGATTGGTCAAATGCTTATGGTGGAATTAGGCCTACGACTGTTTCCCTTGTTGTAGCGGTGTCCTACGAATTGCGGAGGATTCGAGATCCCCATTTTTATTCTTGCTGATTCCCCATTCTTTTGAACCATCGTTCTTTTCAAGAACCAGCTGTTTCCCCTGCGTTTTTGGTTTCCTGAAAAGAAGGATCCCTGGAAAGAATGCCCCTAGAACTTTGAGCAACCCAGTTTGCGTGAAAGTACTTTGTCTGGCGCGCGTTTTTTTCGGTCTGTCCCCTGGCAAGGGGCTGGCCCAGAACGGATGGCAAAGGGATAAGGTACCGGGCTGGGGAAGACCCGCGCATGCCAAGCTTGAAGTGCCAGGGGCACTGAACAGCTCTGGGCTCCTGAAAGGATGCAACCCAAAATCAGCTTTACAAATGATCGGATCTTCTAAGTTCATCTGAAGTCTGAGGTGTTTTTTCTTCTTTCTTTTTTCAGAGGCCCAACTATATCGAGCTCTGCTCGAGTCCCGATCTTTTTTAGCCTCTTGGGCGAATGTCCATAGATGCCCCCGCCTGAAGTGGCCGAATTAATTCATTGATTCACCTGCTGCAAGCGCACATGTCGTGGCAGGTCCTGTATTTTGCATTCGGCGAAAACCGTGCTGTTCATGCTGTCCGCTGACACATGGGACTTCCTCATGGGACTTTTTCCTACTGGGTGCTTTGACCCTCTAGCCAAAAGGACACCAACCACTTGGGACGGAAGGATTCCGATTTTGAGAAGCTCCTTTGGCACTTGAGATTGGACGCGCCGGATTTAAAGGCATTGGCTCTGAGAACGTACGGGTTGTGGACCTGTTCGTTGGTTGATCGTTGTTGGAGTTTGGGGTTATCAAAGTCACTGTCCTTTCAACCCACCACTTGGGTAACTCTGGAAAAATGAGGCCAGTCTTTGCAGGGCGTAACGAGAGAACGCCCACCCCCCGTTCCGGTGGATTTTTCTTCGCCTGTGAACATGGCTCTTCAAAGACAGGGCCCGCGAAATCCAAGCGTTGTTCCTTTCTGGTTTCCCTTGCATTCAAGGTGAACGGGGTTCCCCTGCCAAAGTCTCCTGATTTGCCTATCCATTTGGAGTTCGGGACATAGATTTCAACCACAAAAACATCAAACACCAGGCGAACTCGAACTTTCCCTTATAGTTTGATTGTGCCTTATGTCACATATGTCGAGGCTGCATTCGATGCAAGGTTGTCATAAGGCCGAGGGCGAATCCGAGGACCCAAATATGAAATGGGGGTGGAAGCTCACCAAATTCCCATGCGAACACAATTGCATATCGACCGTGGCTGACGTGCATTGCATCCAAGCATCGTTTTGCGTGGCTATATGGCTGGCATGTGCAACTGTGCAGGGGGTACAGCCTCTGGAACAAAACCAAACCACGGAGACACAGACAGCTTGACGTGTGATGACAGGAAATTCGGCGTACAATTCTCGGCAACCATGTGACCAGCGCAGCCCAACTCTTGCAGGGATGTCAAAGATATCATCGGCTCACACAACGGTGCAAGCCCCCAGCATGCGTTTGACTTGTTGATCTGTGGGATGGGACATGTTTAACCGAAAACAAGCATCTGCTCGCTGCCCAAAATGAAAGCACATGTGCGCTCAGAGATCACATATATCTGGACTGATACCCGTATGCAAACAGATTGCGTTGGCACGCTACAATCAGGCTATGAATGGAATCACAACTCTTCTTGATCTTAGGTCTTGTGATTCTGCAGTAGGATCGTTCAACATCACCTTTGGACTCCATGAGTTTCCCTCGGCGATGCTTCTAGCTCAATATACCCGAACACCTGCAATCACATCCCGCAGAACATTTTGACCGCTTTCCGGAGAGATCTTTCCAGGTCGACTGCGCCGCCGATCCGCGCCGTCGATCGGCGCGGAGTTCGCGCCCATGCGACGCCATGCTGGCGCTGCTTTTCTTCGCCGTGACACGGCCGGCGCTGGCCTGGACACGACTCACCGTGGCAGGGGCCCTAAGGGAACGATGACTGAAGGGGGCTGTAGTTCTTCCATTTTCTCAAGAATATGTTTTCTTCTTCGCTGCCGGTTTTAAAGGGAAACCATTCACTACTGGACATATGTATGGTTATTTTTCCCTGGGGACTCGAGCAAATGCAAGACTTGGTGGGACCAATTGCTGTGAGTGGCCGAGGAAAGTGCGATTTTGTGATTAGGTCACGGGGATGTCCTACTTTGAGCCGCTTTGAGTGAATTTGCACAACCATGCCCTTGATTTTGATAGGTTGTTCCGCTTAAGGAACACGCACCCCGCACTGAATCTTTTCAGAGCAAGACACCGGTTGAATCACTTTTCAATTTTTGTTACTCACATTTGTACCTGAATCGCCAGCTGAGCATGTCCAAGAATCATTACCAAACACAGCCCAAGACCACCCTGAAGACCCTCAAGCCAAACAAGGCAGGAGTTGAGGTCACTTTTGGGGCTGGCAGGTGCATAGCGAGAAATGCGAGGAGTCTGGCTGCCAGGCGCGGGAGCGGCAGTTGCCGTTGAGTTTGCTTGAGGGGCGACTGTGGATTTTGGCCGTGCAGTCTGTGGGCTCTCATTTGGTAAGAAAACAACAAGCAGCTCATCCTTAAAAGAGGGGATATGAATGGATATGAAGCATGTCTTTGTTTTCACATTTTTCCCTTTGGTGTCGAAGACAAACCAAGATACCTACTTTTCCTGCAATGACCCCTGTACTTGGCCAGCCATCAAGGGCTAGCTTTGATGGTAAGCACGTGGCTCCAAAACGTCTATGCGACGCAAACCGGAGGCGGATGCCCACTTGGAAGAGGTTCAGTGGTAAACCAAACGGAACTCAAGGACTTGTGGGTCGTCCAGGTTGAAACTCTTGCAGCCCGTTTGGAAACCTCGGCTTTGAGAAACCAATTGAATCATCGTGGACTATTCCAACGACTGCTCCCCATGTTCAAACTCCCATGTGTCCAGAATGCTTCTGACTCCGATACGGAAAACAGCGTGTCCTTGCAAAAAAAACTAAAACTAGAGCATGCAAAATCACACTGAACCTAACAAGGGGACCATTTCACTTGAGGGAAAGGAGATGCTTCCAACGATTGGGCTTTGTAGGGGTTCCATGTCGATCTGCGAAATAATGACAAACATTCACCAACATGCATTTAAACAAGAAAGCAACGAACACCAACCCCATGTGGTATCCCAAACAGCAACACCCCCGGCTCGATCCCCCCGAACCACGCAGCTTGGTCAAGCCCCTAGCTTAGAAACCACAAACAACGGATTCCCCTTGACTCATCTTGGGTGGACCGGTTTTGTCTCACAAGACCCACAAGGAGGGGGAGCAACCCGAGTCGAAGCCTTGGGGGAGCTGAGCGAGTTGGGCCGTTTTTTGGGGTCAAAGAGGTTGAGCCCCTGGCTGGTTGCGTGCCAGCGATGTGGAGCCGTGTCGGTTTCGGTTTGGCGCGAGCGACAGGTGGCGGCCAAATGCCCTGAGAAGACCTGGCCGGTGGCTTGTGAGAGCGAGCCCAGAGGCCGCACCGGTTGTGAGACCCCGGTTTCTGATTCGATTCTTTAACGCAGTTACCAACAAACGTGATGCTGTACCATGGTTACAAAAGTGGTGCAGGATTTCGTCCATCCACAGTGTCAATTACCAATACAGTAGCCAAACGGCTCCAGCTCAAGCATCGCAATTGTTCAACACACGGATATGATACACGAGTACAGTTTCATCCCACAATAATGTATACCCTTCCGCGAAATATCCGCTCGCCCTTGACACGGTCGGCCGGATCTGTGGAGGGTAATTACCCGTCTTCATGGCGATTTGACAGATCTTTGGACTGGACAACTTTTAGGGAAGCAGTGGATTCCGTATTGGACCCGCAAAAGAGAAACTTTGTGCACCCAAGCCGTGCTCAAAATAGGCGACATCTTTGTTAAAGGTAAGCCAAACGCCAAACGGAGGCCACCTGGAGGAGTTGGTCCCCTTTGAGCGCCCAAGGGAGGGTTGGAAAAACCGTGCCAGGCCATGCTTGGTTCAACCAGGGCTCATGCACGGCGTCGGCGCGCTTGGACATAGAGAGCCTCGGCAGAGATGAGAAGTCCAGAGGGCTTGCAAAGGGCTTTCTACATTTCCATGATGCCATTTGGGTCTGTATTTGTTTGCCGTGCCCATTCTTTAGTCTACGCGGGAACCTGCCCCGAATCATACCCCGAACCATACCCCCGATTCATACCCCACCTTGCAAGCCTGCTTGAAGGCCTTAGCTAAGAGTATGCAAGTAGGGCCTGTCCTGCGGGCAACACAATAAACTGTCTGTCCCTAAGCAGTGTTCTACTCTAACTGGCGTTTAGGGTAAGAGCTACAGGTTAGCTCACAGTTCGTCACGCGCCAGCTGACAGTTTGCATGGGCCGGCTTGTTGCGACACACGCATAATTGCATTTCAAAAGCGCGCAGGCTCGCACGAGCTGCTTGGCTCTTTCGGCTGTTTATCCCAAGTGCGCTTTCGCTGCTGCGTCAAGGGGTGGGCTCGGCTTGGGTATGTGTACTGCCGCTCCGGCGCGGGTCGAAAAATGACCAAGAAGGCTTGAACACTCTGTGACGGACATCTCGCCCCTTCTGCTACGTGGTTGAGAATTTGACCACTAACCAAACCTTTGCTGACTTTGCGCGGGTTGGCACGCTCTGCTTCATAGCTTCACATGGTGCGGGCCTGTTCCAAGTGCAAGGGCGCAGCCGCTTGCAGCAGCCCCGCATGATTGCAAGCTTTCCTAGCCATACTCGCTTTGCGTCTTTCCGTTAGCAAAAGCCTTCCCCGCGATTCATACCCCCGATTCATTCCCGATTCATACCCCGAGTCATACCCTTTCGCAGCCATCTGCAACCAAGAGCCTCTTGCGCTCTGGGCGCAATCGTGAAGCTACAGGGACCAGATCTTCAGAAGCTGGGCAAGGGGGGGACTGCAGAACGACGCCGCCCTTTTCGGAGAGAGGATCGTCCGGAAGGTTTGGAGCGGTTTGAAGGAAGAGTTCGAACCCTTGTAAGCTGCATCCTTCAAGAGTGAATTGTTTTGCTCTGCTTGTGAAGTTGGGGAGCGCTGCAAAGAGTGGCCTGTGCTTGAAGGAGTTCCGAGCAAGAGGCCTTCCTGGCATTGGCGGGCGTGCCAAAGCAAGCAAATTCTTGTCAGCGCCTGGAAGGAAGCTCTGGGGCCCGCGAGGAGGAACTGCTAAGCGAACACGGGGTTTGGCCGTTGTCTGAGCTGGTCCGCAAAACATGCCCTGGTGACTGGTGAGGCGTCAGGCTTCGGTGTGCCACGGCTGTTCACCCCGTTCTTGGCAGCGTCAGAGGCTAGCTGTGGCAATTGGGCGGTTTGGTTTCTTGCGGCTATCTGCTTGTCAGCGTAAAGGAGAATTGCAGCGCCCAAGGCCACAAAACAAGAATTCAGAGCTGCGCGGGCCATACCCCGAACCATACCCTCGAGTCATACCCCGAGCCTTACCTGAAATGGGTTGTTTTTGAGGGCCCATGAGGGGTCGGGGTTCTCCATGGCAGGGTCCTGGGGTCTGCGTTGGAGCGGTCATGACCCTTAGGATGGTTAAGAAATCACCTGTCTTCCCTTGGACATGTTTTTCATGACACGTACAGACCCGACACACATGAGGTGTGTGTCATGCAGAGGGCCCTCTTCAGTCAAAGATGCACGCTCGGATTTCGAGCACTGGTTGTGGGCCACCACATTTGTGCAAAGAATAAACACCCGCAAGGGGTTGTGGAAACCATGTGAAGGCTGACATCTTTAGTGGGCCAAACATGGAGAGCCCCTTAGATGTGACCCTTCGTTTCCCTTTAAGCCAAGGGTACGAGCCTCAAAAAAGGAGAGAGTTCTCCGGTCCGAAGCGCGGGCTTGCAGGATCAGGGCGAAGGTGGCTTGCACCAGTATGTTCGAGACCTTCACCGTTTCAGGCGCGCGTCACCGGCACCTCCGTTTCGCATGGCGAAACGCATCGGGCAAAGGCGCAATGAGCTCACGAGCCTTTTTGAGCCTTTTTGGTGGGCAAGACGGGCAAAACCCATGAAGGCATATATATATATATATACACTGCACTTGCGGATTCCTGATCTGGGGATTGCGGTAAGTTGCCCAGACGGCTGTGGCGCAAAATATGTACCAGAATGGCACCTTGATACATCGAACCCAAGACTAAATCCTGCTTAACCCTAGCTCTTTAATTGTGGGCCACACCCAGATGAACATGTTCTTGGACGCCTCCAGAAGTGTGTTCGCACATCGAGGTTTCTATGAAGCTAGGTCTGAAGATTCAGCATTTGTGTTGCTGACGTGTGCAGACTCAGTCAGCTGTGGGGATTTTACAAGATCCGACGATTCAGTGTCACCGACCCCCAAACGCTTGACAAGTTTGCTAGGGTTCAAGCCCGATTAAAATGCCGGTAGATGCTTTCGTGCCATGTATTCGCTTCTCATTGCTTTTTAAGCGTCCTTTGCACCTCGCCTGTTTTTTGCAGCTAAAGCCTGTTTTTTGCGCCTGCAATGAGCCATGGCGTGGTATTTGGATTATTCATGCTGTTGCCACGTTTAGATTCTACAAAGCCATTTCCACCTCAACATGTCTTGACACGACAATTTTGGTGTGAACATAGCGGTCCGTGATCTTCGCGAAAGCAGCGTGAAATCACCGTGAAATTGGTGTGAAAGCCTGTTTTCTATCGTGAGAGCACGCTTTCTGCCGTGAATTTTGACACCGGTGAATCTATGTGTTTCAGCCTGTCCTTTGGTACTCCCTCCGCTTGTTTGTGGGAATGGAGGTCAAGTCTTTGTACACTTTGGTCCTGAGCACATGCGGCGCCTCAATTGTTCAACGATATCAGCTGAGCTTGGACAAAACTACTCCTGGGCAAAAGCCCGCCTTTCGCAGAAAACACGCAGAATAAACCGCCTTTGGAACTCCAGGGATAGGGCATGGCTGCAATCGTACAGGGAGGATACGCACGACAAAGTCTGCACGATTTAGAAGATGATATTTCTCCAGAAAACCATGGTCGCTATACTAACCCCCATGATTTTTCCTGGTGTTTATACTAACCCCCACGGTTTTTCCCCGGTGAACATACTAACCCCCATGTTTTTCCTGGTGGTTGCAGTTGCCCCCACAATTTCCTGTTGGTTGGACTCCGGAAAAATTAAGTTAAGAAAATAGAAATAAGCAAACACACAATAACAATGATGATTATACAAATAAACATACAAAAAAAACACACCCATGCGGTCCGCATGCGCCGAGTCGCCAGGCCCCACGGCGCGGTGTCCCGCGGGCTCGCAGCTCCAGCGCTGCTTCTGCCAGGCCGGGGCCCGGCAGGCCGGAGTCGCCGGAGCCTGCGGGCCCCTGGTTGGGCGTTCGCTGCCAAGTGGCCCACCAGATGGAGCCGCCAGAGGTTTTTTTTTGAAGCGTCAGGGTTTCCGAGCCATGGCCCTTGATGTTACAGTAGCCGCCAAAAGTGGGGGGTCGTCTTTTTTTGCAAGGCACCAGTAAATGCTAGGTCCCGGAGCCAGGTGCCATTTTTACCGCTTCTTTTTTGGGGAAGGGTTTGGGACCCTACTAAAATAGACTACACCAAAAAGTTGGTAGCCTGATTCTAACCTCTCTACTGGAGGACCTAGGTTTTTACTGTGGATAGACAAAACAATGGTGGTACTACTGTGGATGCCCAGACTTTTTGGGGCTTGCAATGGAAGACCCAGATCCTCCGTTGCACTATTCAGAGGGGTTTTGGGGTCTCAACACCTGGCTGTTTGAGGGCCCAAAATCAATCGGGAGCGTCTGGGTGGACAAAATCCGTTAGCATCACGACATGAAGCCATGGCTGAAGCCACTATTTGTTGGTATGTTGCAGGGGAATGCTGACCTCAGATGAATCAACCAACCAGTTTATGAACTGGAGGGTTCTTGGCCCCTCCAAAAGTGACCTGATTCCAACCACACCCAGGTTGACACCAGCCTATTGAGAAACTGCGGGTTGGGGTCAACATTACCTAGATGCTCGTTGCACGGGCCAAGTCAGCGTGATGTTGGGAACCTAGGTTTCCAGCCCCCGGGAATGTGGGGTTGTCGGGGGGTGGCAAACCCCAAGGCAGATTAGAGGTGACAGCGCAGGGGTTCTTACTTGGGTGAGACCTAGACGATAGCCCACATATAAAAGGTACCCCCATGTGACATGTGGGGTTAACCTTGTCAGGGAAGGGTATACCCAAATGGCTAACCGAACATGCAAGTAGAGGGTGGACAAAAGAGATATTGCTAGCCAGCATAGGTGAAGCATAGGTGACCTTGGGTCGGTCTGGTTGAAAATCGATGGCACTGGTTGCAGGTTCTTTCCAATTCTTTACCAGTGCCATCTGTTTTACCAAAAGGACACGCTAGCATAGGCGGTTCGAAGTAGTTTTGCCTTTGGGGGAGCGAAGGAGCCATCAAGAGTTCCGCTAGGACATGGTGATTTTTGTGGATCAACATTGTGTAAATTTGTGGGTGGTTCTGCCAAAATCCCCATGTGTCCTTCCTGGTGGTGAAGTACATCGCGCAACCCTACGTGGCGATATACGGGGCAGTTTTGTCTGCTCGGAAATACATCCGTCCGTTTTCGTGAAAACCATGCCGTTTTGCCAACTTTTGCCAACTTTTGTGGGGAAGATCAACAATGGAACTCGGGGCTTGGTTAAGCACGTCCAGCAGAGACCTTTGGTCGGCCGATCGATTTGGCTTCGAGGGGATCAAGCCTTTGCTTGTTTCTATTCTTTATCTCTGATCTTCAAACTTTTTGGGAAGACCATTTTAGTGGTAAATATAAAGTTTGAACTTTTTGTTGGGCCATCCACTCAGCAAGTGAGCTATTGTTGAGGCTTTCGAGACTCCAGGCGTTTGCGCCTTCGCACCTGTGATGCGCCTTCGCATCTTTTCGCTGGCTTGGGGTTCACCTTTCTCAAGCGCATCATCACCCGAGTGCCTGAAGATTCAGTGCATCAAAGAGGACACCGCATGTGAGGGAAAATTCAATGATAGAAGGAAAACCTTTGATGCAAAAGCACTCCCCTTTCAATGTTTGGAAAGACCGGTTTCAGAGCCGTGGAACCGCTTGAACTCAACGCCTTCCATGCCTTCAGGTTTTCTCAAAGTAGTCGCTATGGCATTTTGGTTTTCCCTTTAAATACCAACCAACACGGGGGGGGCTTTTCCAAAACTGGGATTGTTCCTAGCGGCCACCCGCATCAGCTCGTACCCTCAGTGAACATCCCAATCCCCACTAAAACAGGTTCTAAAATGGATTGTGCACCTACCCCAACATGGTACCAAAACGGTTTTGACCCGCAGCCAAATCCAGCGACGCATCTCCTTCGGGCCGTCGGGATCGCGCGCTGGCCCTCCTCGAAGGCCTGCCTGGGCGCTGCGCAGCCGCTGCAAGAGGGTCCCGCCTGCAGCGCGCGCGCCGCGCCCCAGGCGGAGGCAGTCCGCGCTGGCCAGTACTTCCAGTTGGTGAAATGAAGATCTGGTATTTCCCCCTGTTGATTTTAAAGGGAATCGATTTCACTACGGGAAGTATGTTTTTTTTGCCCAGGGGACTTAAGCAAATGGAGGGGTATCGTTGGAATTTGGTCGGGCGGGGGGAAGTTTTGGGCGGCAACAAAAGACATGCGGTGGGGGGGGGGACCGCTTGAAGATAAGACAAAACAGGTCCTTAGTTGCAACCACAGCCATTCGACCGGATCTGACCTTGTGAAGTTTTCCCACATTTGGGTGTCCCATTTTTAGTAGGGGTGCTAAAAGTTTATCACCTTTATTTTCCAGTTCCTTTGGGCAAGTGAGTGTCTGAAGTGCATGCCCATCCTTGAGTTGCACATTATTGTACCCAAAACGAGCAAAGTGGAATGTACAGAGGGAACCCTTGGTGGATTGCAGCTTTAGATCGGAAACCACAGTGGGCTAAGATCACTCAAGTAAAATCGTGTTTCTTTCCTGGCAAACCACACAGACAACGACTAAGTTTCCGGTTTGTGCTTTGGGGGACGCTAAATGCAACACGGACGAGGCTTCATCGTATGGAACATGGCCCCTCTTGGACCCGTAAGACTGACGCCGTGTTTCTGGTTCAGTGAAGCGACGAAGCCAAAAGCGGTTCGGACCTTGAGGGAGCGAAGCAGCGTGGCAGTTTCTTCACGACTTGAGATTTGTGTAGGGCTTCTGTCCATGGTACCTGCATCGCTGTGTAGCTGCAGAGGCGTTCCTCAGACGTTCTTGAACTCAATGGCAGTCCTCACATGTTCCAAAGCCAACAATGACCCCAGGCAACCTCAAACTACGCTGGCAAAGCCTAGGAACCGCTTTTCAGGCAAGGGGTGACCAGATCACGGCTGCACCACGCTGGAAGGAAGATCCTGCACGACTCGCCCAAGCTTTGTGCCTGAGGGGCGATAGCCATTGGCTTCTGCAGAGCTTTGGAGAAGATTGGGACCTTTGCAAAGCGGAAGCCAGTTTTTTTGTTTTTTCGCCAAGGGCAATTTTGGACATTTGTTTGTCGTACATTACGACTCGCATTTGTTGTCCCAAAAATTGTCCAAATACGAGAAAAAGGACTTTTGTCCCAAGTGTTCAAGCGTCTTCTTTCTCCCCTGCTTGTTTGGTTTGGGTTCCCCACAGCTTTGTTTGTTTGGTTTCCCACGAAAATTGTTGTTTTGTTTGGTTCCCCACAACAACCTTTCCTAATTCCACCTGTCGGGTCACAGTCAGAGTTGACCAAAGCCATTTGCTCGATGTGCGATCCCAGCGGGATAAGATATAAACGTCAAATTGGAAATGCCATACAAGGCGGCGGCAAAGGCGCATGACTTAGGTCCGCCCGGGCGTGGTCCGCATGGACGTTTGCAGTTTGCAGCATAGAGCGCAAGCCTGATGATGAGTCTTAGAGCGTCAAAAGAGTTGACAAAAGCCATCAATCGCCATGAACAGCAGCCAGCCTTTTGGGGGCAGTTCTTCAAGGGGTATGCGTAGGAGCTTATCTGGGGGAGGCTGTAAAAGGAGTCGGGTATGTACAGATATGGGTGTGTTATTTTTTTTGCGGGACCCACATAGTGATATTCCTTTTGGTTTCCCATTCAAACCACACAAAACAAGGGTACCAGCTCCAAAAAAAGACGCCACCCCTAAAAGGGTGTTTCTCGAAATTGGGGTCCTCTAGAGATGGTTTCCTTTTTGATTTCCCCGTAAAGGTCCTGGAAAGCGGGTGGGGTCAGGCTCCTCTAATTTGAGAAAGCGCCACTCGCACGCCTTCCGTGGCCTTGTCGTGGCTTGGCCGCGGGGCTCAGGAACTCCGAGAGCCTGGGCTTTGTGAAGTACTGCGGCTGGGTGCCATACCTTCGGCCCATGAACACGCCGGAGCTCGACTACAGGCGGAGCTCCGCTGCCGGGGGGAAGTGTTCTCAAAGCCGGTGGAGCTCGTGGACTTGAGCGTCCACTTTGTGGGGGTTGGACCATAGCGGCAACCAACAAAGTTGTAATTACTGATTGGGGCCAGCACCCTTTGTTAGTTCATGTTCAGGTATGGGGTTTTGGACAATTGGATGCTGATATACCACCAAAATAAGCTTGACGGGAAGTACGTAGGTGGTATGCAACCTCCGTACCTCCAATTTGAGGTTGCGAGAGCAGTTTGATTTGAATCAGAGCAACTGGATGGCGTAGAACTGTTTTGAAGTAGATGGATGGCATAGAAACATGTGGCCTTTGATGGGAAGGCTTTGATGTTTTGGTAAGAGCGCAATGCGAGCGGCAAGAGCCAAGATAGAGCTAGTTTGACACACTGTTTTAATTTGGGAACCTATCATTCAACTCTCAGGATATTTGGTGTACTTTCTGGATGATCTTCTTCTGGCTCTACCCCCATTTGAGGTCTCAAGAGCCGAGATTTGGACAATTGGAGTCCAGAGCTCGTGAAACACGAGTTTGGTTGTTCCACAAGCAGCTTTCCAGCTCTGATTTGCTCACTTTGCTCCAGTTCATTTCAGCTGCAATTCACCAGCCTCGAGCTTCACAGAACGACTCGAAGGCTTGAAACCTTAACCTATGGTCACTTCTTCGCCTCAAAACGCCACCCCCCGAGGGCACTTTCGCCCGCCTCAAAACCCCCCCCCCCCGAAAGGGGACATATAAGGAACCCTGCTTGGGGTAGCCCCAACTTGCCCATGTCGGTTTGGACGAGGGCTCATCGACACCAAACCACATGGGGGTCTTTTCTCTTAAGCACGGCCGGAGACAGAGTGAAAGACCGATGCATTTGAGGTTCGAGCAGCAGATGCAGAGGGTCACGAGCCTCGGCCGAAGGGATCTCGACCACCCAAAAACCAAGCGGAACAGGGGGATGGTCCCAGGAAACGTTTGCCTCGATGGGACACCCTAAAACGAAATCAGGTTGCGAAAAGTCCTGGGTTCCCAATAGAAAGGATTGTGTCTCTAATCAGACCGCACCGGTTTCGACTCGGGAGGAATGGTTGGAGCTGTTGATTGGTTTGGCTGGTGATTGGTTTCGTTGCCACGGGAACGATATGCAGACAATACCTTTTCAGTAGGCCAGATGTGACCTGGCTGCGGGCAGATCTCATTAGCAGATGCCACCGATCTAGGTTCAACCCCTGGCTGCCTGGCTGTGCACAAGTGCCCTGAAGGATTGGTTTCCTTGGACGTTCCCCTTTAATTTCAACCAGCCAGTTCCGCAAAGCGCCCGCCTGTTGCGAAACGAGATTTTCGTGCCGGAGTGATGTGGAGGGACAAAATCGTAGGGCTCCCACCCTAGTATTGAAGTACCGGAGTAAAACAAGAACACAACGGGAGCTGACGTCACTACTTGACTACATGGCTGCGTGTCTTCAATGCGCTTTTCCATCCAAGGGCCCAAAAGCCACCGAGGGATGCCGTGAAGCACTTCATGCAGGAGATGTCGGAGCACCAGCGTGCAGATGCAGCACGGTACCTGCGACGTGCCCTCACCAAAAGAAAGAGTGTGTGTGTGTGTGTGTGTGTGTGTGTGTGTGTGTGTGTGTGTCCGTGTGTCCGTGTGTCCGTGTGTCCGTGTGTCCGTGTGTCCGTGTGTCCGTGTGTCCGTGTGTCCGTGTGTCCGTGTGTCCGTGTGTCCGTGTGTCCGTGTGTCCGTGTGTCGTGTGTCCGTGTGTCCGTGTGTCCGTGTGTCCGTGTGTCCGTGTGTCCGTGTGTCCGTGTGTCCGTGTGTCCGTGCGCAGGGTTGGTTTAGGTTGGGTTTAGGATGGGTTTAGGGTGGGTTTGGGGCTGGTTTAGGGTTGGTTTAAGGTTGGTAGACTTGGCAAACCCGCATTTATTAAGGTTGCTCGCCAAAAGGGGTCCCAGTTGGGGCTAACTCATCAAGGCATAACCAAATTGCACGTTTCAAGGAATCTTGGACGCCCAAAACTATTGGATAGCAATTCCGTTCGTAGGGTCCAAACTCCCCTCCTTCAATCCCCCATGAGCCGTGGCATCCTGCAAAAAAAAACTGGCCCTAAGGCCACGCCAGGGTTTGGAGCTAGGCTCCTACGAACAAAACCCCAGACTTCCCAAAATGCCAAGAGGGCTAGAGCATAGTGTTCCGACATCTCTGACTACGTTTCTTCTTTGACCTCTAGGAGCGTTCAAGCCCAACTTAGTTCTCCGCCCTGTTGGTCTCCTCCGAAATCCTAGGAAATACAAATAAGCACTGTCAACTTTCTGACCCCTGCAAGCTAGTCTTCCCAGGGTTCCCAAAATCAGTGAACGTTCAACTGGGAGGGAATAAGTGGTCCAAACAAAGACTGAGGGAATAGACAAGCGTGCTTTTTCGGAGCCCGAGACTACAAGTGGTTTTCCAACGTTCGACAGTTGAGACATAGCAAGGCCCCGGAACGCAAACCTGCAAACCCTCTGGCTCCTCGGCGCTGCACACATCAACTATTGCGATATTACGTGCAGGGGTTGCCTTGTAAAGAATTCTGTTTGTGTCAGGTTGCGTGGCTACACCTGCTTCGTTGCCCAAAAACGACTTGAGCACGACAGCACATTGATGTGTCAGTTTTGACTTGACGTGAGCCGGTCTGCAGGGCAACAAATCTGCCCACCTGAGTTGAGAGCTGAGTTGACAAGGACACCCCTGAATGTTGAAAATGGAGAGCCCCCTCAATGGCAATGGCCGCACACAGCGGACATGGCGGAGCGCCTCGGCCTCTCCCCGTCGCTGCGAGAAGCTCGTGCCCTTCCTCGGCATGCACGTAGAGGAGGGCGTGGACGGCAAGCGGCTCAAGTTCCTGCGGGACGTGCTGGGCGCCAGGGTCTGGAGGCTGCACAGAGCCTACCGCTTCGCCTGCAGCCCCTTCATGGCGGGCTTCATGGAGCTCAAGCACAGCGAGCGGAGGCAGCTCAAGACGGCGGGGAGCGTGGTCGCCGAGAAGGTGGTGAAGCTCACCCAGAACGCCATCTTCGGCCGCTGCTGCATGAACCCCAACAAGTTCAGGAACACGAGCGCCTACGTGGACCCGGCCAAGTTCGAGCGGGCCCTGGGCAAGAGCTCCGTGACGAACTTCAAGCTCCAGATGACTCGGAGGGGTTCCTGGCCTTCGTGGAGACGCTAAAGACGAACCGCAGCAAGGCCTTCATGAGCGTGCCCACCCAAGTCGGCGCCCGCACGCTGCAGCTCTCCAAGCTCATGATGGAGAAGGCCTACTACCTCCACATGAGGAGGCTCTTCCCGAAGATGAGGCTGCTCTTCACGGACACCGACTCCGTGATGGTGCAGATCTTCGAGCTGCAGGACCCGCTCCACGCCATGGCCGAGGCGAACCTGAACGGCGCCGCCCTCTTCGACGTGGCCGGCAAGTCCAAGGACCCCGAGAGGGACCTGAGCGCGCTCTCGGCAGCGGCGCGCGCCAAGGCCATCGAGGTGATGGGGCAGCTGGGCAAGCTCGGCGACGAGACCTTCCCCGCCAGGATCCTGGAGTACGTCGGCCTGCGCTCCAAGATGTACAGCATCCTCACGGTCCAGCCCGACGGCGCGCGCAAGGAGAAGCGCAAGATCAAGGGCGTGCCCAAGAAGGCGGTGACCAACGTCCGGCATCTCGAGTACAGGGAGGTGCTGGAGGAAGGCAGCGAGCGCAGGGCGACCTTCGCGCAGCTGCGCAGCCGCGCGCACGAGATCGCCGTGGAGACCGTCGAGAAGAAGTCCCTCTCGCCCTTCAACGACAAGGTCTACGGCCTCGACGCTCACAACTCGCGTCCGCTGGGGCACTGGCGCAACCTGGAGCAGCTGCGGATGCTGGGCGCTTACGCTCCGCCAACCTCGTGATGGAGTTCCTCGTGGGGCCCCCGCCTCTGGGGCCCGCTCCGACACTGCCGCTGCGGCTGAGCCGATGCTGGGCGTAGACTGTTACGCTCCGCCAGGCTCTCGCGCCCTTCGGAGTTCCTCGTGGGGCCCCCGCCTCTGGGGCCCGCTCCGACACTGCCGCTGTGGCTGAGCCGATGCTGGGCGTAGACTGTCGGAACCGAAAAAAAGATCCCGAGCTCTTGTTTTCTCGCTTTCTCGCTTTCTCGATAATACTTATTCGTTCCGCCGCAGCTGCTCAAGATGACTTCCTCAGCGGCCTTCCGATGCGTGCAGGCATGGCTTCTGGAGAAGCCCGCTGCGTGGGTGGGCGAGGACGCTCCCAGCCTTGCGACCGCTCTGATGGCCCAGCGGCCTCCCTGCAAGCGGCCTCGCGAGGACGCGCTGCTCGAGGCCGAGCGCTCGCACCAGCGGCATCTCATCGCGCAACTCGATGAGGAGCTCCTCGATGAAACTCTGCGCGGCGAGGAGCGGGAGCGCGACAACAAATGTCTCCGCCGGATGCTGGACCGCCACGACGAGTACCTCAAGAAAACCCGCAAGCGAGCGGTGCTGGCGGAGCGGCGTGTTGGGGAGCTGGAACGTCCTCCTCGCAGGGCAGCTGGAAGCTCACGCTCCTCAGGCCCCTCATGCGCTGGCGCAGGAGCGTCTCCACCTCGGTCCTGGAGTTCCGATACTGCGTGCTCTGGGTGCTGCACCCAGTGCCTCTCAGGGTCAAGGAGGTAGGTCTCGTCCGAGAGCTGCAGGATGGGGCCGCCCGGGTCTCCCAGCAAGGCCTCCACCTGCTGCCTGACCCGCTGCGCCACCTGCTCCTCCGTGAGGTGGGCGGGGTGCCTCGTCATGGCGCCGCCCAGCTCGTTCACCGGCAGCCAGTCCCTGCTGCGCTCGTAGCCCGCGCCGGCGTTCCGCCCGCTGCGCCGCCTGCCCCGGATGATCACCGGCACGTGGACCAGGTACTCGTAGTACTTGTCGCGGAAGAAGCCCTTGCCCAGCTTGGTCAGCCGGTGCTCTCGGCCTGCAGGGAGCGCACGAGCTTTTTCTGCCCGTTAGGATGTAATCGTTGGGGCCTTCTCGGATGAGGGGCTGGTTGTAGTCAAAGTCCTTGCTGGGAGGCCGCAGGCCCAGGTGAGAGTAGTAGTGCTGGCCCGCCCGGGTCAGCTGCCCGTCCGCGCGCGAGAGCGCGTAGGCCCCCGGTCCGCGCCGCAAGTTCAGCACGACGGCTCCATCCGCCCCCGTGCGAGCCCGGGCGCCGCCGTCGGCCTCCGTGATCTGCTGTCGTTGTCTCGCCCAACTTGCCATTCTTTTTTTACGGGTCCAGTTTTTTTTGCTCGGCCGCGCATTCTCCCCGACCAGACGCGCACGTATGATCGGGAGCTTGTTTCGCACGGTTTTGCGCTACTTGTGTGCGTCGTCGTGCGAGTCAGCTTTGTGCGAGTCAGCTTTGTGCGAGTCAGCTTCCGGGGTGCGTTCAAACGGGTTATGCCGTCAGAGCGTTTTCGCGGCGGGCGGGCTGGTGCCTGTAGGGTTTAAACACAGCTGGCTTTCAACAAGCCACTATTTGCTCGAGAAGCATTCACAAAGCTCTGCGATGGCGACTCTCTCCGAGTGCGAGCGCGAGGCGCGCGAGGCGGCAGCGAACCTGGTGCTGTCTACCGTCCTTCCGCACTCCGTGAGAATGGGGACTCGCGTGCTCGAGACCCTGGACGACATGCGGGAGATACTGTCCTACGACAGCATCGGCTGCAAGCAGGCTCTGCCCATCTTTGAAGAACTCGTCAAGGCCGGCCAGGAGCCCGTGGGTGAAGACTACCCGGCGACGAATTTGGAGCATCGCCTGGTGGAGTGGTTGGATCGCCGCGAAGCCGCCCCGGACACTCCGCCCGTGAAGCCTCAGTCTCCGCGCCAGCCCATTTTCCTGAACTTGAAGAGGAAGGCGAGCGAGGCGAGCCGGAGAGCGACCAGCCGCAGCCGGAGCCGGAGGTAACCACTTCTTGCTGCCAACGGGCCGCGAGACGAGGATTTCATGAGGAACAAGGCCGCTCCCGATCTTCCACAGCAGCAACCACGTTCTGGTTCCCTGCGAGTTCCGCCACACAGGCCCGGGTGTGTCCGAAGCAGAACTGCTGGAGTGCCTTTACAGGGTGGGGGACGACAAGTACCAGGGCAAAGGTTGCGCTTGGATGGCGTGGCGCCTCGTGGGCCAAGCTCAGCCTCCTGACGTCGGCCACCACGTCGTGCTTCGACCCGAAAGAGGGGCAAACTTGTGGGTCTTCTTCCACAAGCCCACCATGAAGCTGCTGCCCCATCCTCCGGCGTCCACCCAGCTCTACAAGCTTGGCAAGGGGAAGCTTCACGATGTCGTGAAGCTGATGGCCAACTGCTTGGAGCAGAAGGGGACCATGCGGGCCATGAGTCGGGGCGAGTACGACGGCCTTGTTGCAGCAAACGAACCTCCGGCGCCAGAGTTCTCTCCACGACGGGTTTTGAAGAACTACGGCGATATGACGACGTCCGAGTTCCAGAGCCATCTCATCAAGCTCGACACGACCTTCCGAGGCGACAGGGCCTTGAACTCCGGCAAGCGCCTGCCGAAAACGAGGACGAGTTCGTGCACTTGCAGAGCAGG